GTGAGAATATCATTGTCACCTTCCTGAAGGGTAGATGTAGGGTAGATGTACCGCGGTGAGAATATCATTGTCACCTGTCCTGAAGGGTAGATGTAGGGTAGATGTACCGCGGTGAGAATATCATTGTCACCTGTCCTGAAGGGTAGATGTAGGGTAGATGTACCGCGGTGGTGAGAAATGTATGAGAATATCATTGTCACCTGTCCTGAAGGGTAGATGTACCGCGGTGAGAATATCATTGTCACCTGTCCTGAAGGGTAGATGTAGGGTAGATGTACCGCGGTGAGAATATCATTGTCACCTGTCCTGAAGGGTAGATGTAGGGTAGATGTACCGCGGTGAGAATATCATTGTCAGCTTTCCTGAAGTGTAGATGTACCGCGGTGAGAATATCAATATCATTGTCACCTGTCCTGAAGGGTAGATGTACCGCGGTGAGAATATCATTGTCACCTGTCCTGAAGGGTAGATGTACCGCGGTGAGAATATCATTGTCACCTGTCCTGAAGGGTAGATGTAGGGTAGATGTACCGCGGTGAGAATATCATTGTCACCTGTCCTGAAGGGTAGATGTAGGGTAGATGTACCGCGGTGAGAATATCATTGTCACCTGTCCTGAAGGGTAGATGTACCGCGGTGAGAATATCATTGTCACCTGTCCTGAAGGGTAGATGTAGGGTAGATGTACCGCGGTGAGAATATCATTGTCACCTGTCCTGAAGGGTAGATGTAGGGTAGATGTACCGCGGTGAGAATATCATTGTCACCTGTCCTGAAGGGTAGATGATGTAGGGTAGATGTACCGCGGTGAGAATATCATTGTCACCTGTCCTGAAGGGTAGATGTAGGGTAGATGTACCGCGGTGAGAATATCATTGTCACCTGTCCTGAAGGGTAGATGTAGGGAAAATGTACCGCGGTGAGAATATCATTGTCACCTGTCCTGAAGGGTAGATGTAGGGTAGATGTACCGCGGTGAGAATATCATTGTCACCTGTCCTGAAGGGTAGATGCTGGGTAGATGTACCGCGGTGAGAATATGATTGTCACCTGTCCTGAAGGGTAGATGTACCGCGGTGAGAATATCATTGTCACCTGTCCTGAAGGGTAGATGTACCGCGGTGAGAATATGATTGTCACCTGTCCTGAAGGGTAGATGTACCGCGGTGAGAATATCATTGTCACCTGTCCTGAAGGGTAGATGTAGGGTAGATGTACCGCGGTGAGAATATCATTGTCACCTGTCCTGAAGGGTAGATGTAGGGTAGATGTACCGCGGTGAGAATATCATTGTCACCTGTCCTGAAGGGTAGATGTAGGGTAGATGTACCGCGGTGAGAATATCATTGTCACCTGTCCTGAAGGGTAGATGTAGGGTAGATGTACCGCGGTGAGAATATCATTGTCACCTGTCCTGAAGGGTAGATGTACCGCGGTGAGAATATCATTGTCACCTGTCCTGAAGGGTAGATGTACCGCGGTGAGAATATGATTGTCACCTGTCCTGAAGGGTAGATGTTCCGCGGTGAGAATAATATTGTCACCTGTCCTGAAGGGTAGATGTAGGTAGATGTACCGCGGTGAGAATATCATTGTCACCTGTCCTGAAGGGTAGATGTAGGGTAGATGTACCGCGGTGAGAATATCATTGTCACCTGTCCTGAAGGGTAGATGTAGGGTAGATGTACCGCGGTGAGAATATCATTGTCACCTGTCCTGAAGGGTAGATGTACCGCGGTGAGAATATCATTGTCACCTGTCCTGAAGGGTAGATGTAGGGTAGATGTACCGCGGTGAGAATATCATTGTCACCTGTCCTGAAGGGTAGATGTAGGGTAGATGTACCGCGGTGAGAATATCATTGTCACCTGTCCTGAAGGGTAGATGTAGGGTAGATGTACCGCGGTGAGAATATCATTGTCACCTGTCCTGAAGGGTAGATGTAGGGTAGATGTACCGCGGTGAGAATATCATTGTCATCCTTAAGGGTAGATACAGGGTAGATTTACCGCGGTGAGAATATCATTGTCACCTGTCCTGAAGGGTAGATGTAGGGTAGATGTACCGCGGTGAGAATATCATTGTCACCTGTCCTGAAGGGTAGATGTAGGGTAGATGTACCGCGGTGAGAATATCATTGTCACCTGTCCTGAAGGGTAGATGTAGGGTAGATGTACCGCGGTGAGAATATCATTGTCACCTGTCCTGAAGGGTAGATGTACCGCGGTGAGATGTAGGGTAGATGTACCGCGGTGAGAATATCATTGTCACCTGTCCTGAAGGGTAGATGTAGGGTAGATGTACCGCGGTGAGAATATCATTGTCACCTGTCCTGAAGGGTAGATGTAGGGTAGATGTACCGCGGTGAGAATATCATTGTCACCTGTCCTGAAGGGTAGAGGTAGGGTAGATGTACCGCGGTGAGAATATCATTGTCACTTGTCATGAAGGGTAGATGTAGGGTAAATGTACCGGGGTGAGAATATCATTGTCACCTGTCCTGAAGGGTAGATGTACCGCGGTGAGAATATTATTGTCACCTGTCCTGAAGGGTAGATGTAGGGTAGATGTACCGCGGTGAGATTATCATTGTCACCTGTCCTGAAGGGTAGATGTACCGCGGTGAGAATATCATTGTCACCTGTCCTGAAGGGTAGATGTACCGCGGTGAGAATATCATTGTCACCTGTCCTGAAGGGTAGATGTAGGGTAGATGTACCGCGGTGAGAATATCATTGTCACCTGTCCTAAAGGGTAGAGGTAGGGTAGATGTACCGCGGTGAGAATATCATTGTCACCTGTCCTGAAGGGTAGATGTACCGCGGTGAGAATAGAGTTTGGATTATGATTATGTAGACATGTCAGTATTTTGTTGTTTCTGCCCTAGTTTTATTGAATTAGAGTTTGGATTATGATTATGTAGACATGTTGGTATTTTGTTGTTTCTGCCCTAGTTTTATTGAATTTGAGTTTGGATTATGATTATGTAGACATGTCAGTATTTTGTTGTTTCTGCCCTAGTTTTATTGAATTAGAGTTTGGATTATGATTATGTAGACATGTTGGTATTTTGTTGTTTCTGCCCTAGTTTTATTGAATTAGAGTTTGGATTATGATTATGTAGACATGTCAGTATTTTGTTGTTTCTGTCCTAGTTTTATTGAATTAGAGTTTGGATTATGATTATGTAGACATGTTGGTATTTTGTTGTTTCTGCCCTAGTTTTATTGAATTAGAGTTTGGATTATGATTATGTAGACATGTTGGTATTTTGTTGTTTCTGCCCTAGTTTTATTGAATTAGAGTTTGGATTATGATTATGTAGACATGTTGGTATTTTGTTGTTTCTGCCCTAGTTTTATTGAATTTGAGTTTGGATTATGATTATGTAGACATGTCAGTATTTTGTTGTTTCTGTCCTAGTTTTATTGAATTAGAGTTTGGATTATGATTATGTAGACATGTTGGTATTTTGTTGTTTCTGCCCTAGTTTTATTGAATTTGAGTTTGGATTATGATTATGTAGACATGTCAGTATTTTGTTGTTTCTGCCCTAGTTTTATTGAATTAGAGTTAGGATTATGATTATGTAGACATGTTGGTATTTCCTAGTTTTATTGAATTAGAGTTTGAATTATGATTATGTTGCCTGCCATGTTGGTATTTTCTTTATGTTTTTGTTTATATGGATACCCTTTAAAACGCATGCGCGAAATTTTATTCCCTCACATTTCACCAACCAGAGACAGCAGCGAGTTATCATCCACGTAAAAAATAGTATATACAATGTATTTGCTCTAAATTATCAGAAATCGTGTCTTTTAGACCGATTCAGAATTGTGGTCATATTATTGTTATTAATGATGTTTTACAAACACTAGGGGTTTTTTTGTATCAGATTCAAAATGTGTATTATAGTGAATACTCTTTTGGTTGAAACGATATCTATTCTACATAAATCGCTTAATAATTAAAGGAAATGAGGGCAAGCGTTAATTTTGGACAGATTGTCAGTGAGTGATCTCTATTTAAGTAAACTGTAACATATTTGTTTACATCAAATTATTATATGTTAAATATGTTTCTTGTATATAAGATATCCAAGTATTTGAATGCATTCTAATCCACATTACGTTATAGACAATTTGACACTACGATCACGTGGCGAATTTCCTCAACTTTCTTCTTCTGAGATTTCGTACTGGTAAAAATATGGTTGTTCATATTTGCGGGGAATTTATTATCGCTATATCTGTGGTTAACAAGAAAGCGCATCAATCAATACCCAGCAAATATTTAGCATAACATTCACTCGAATTCTATTTTTGATATCAAAGATATGATACTGTATTGTATGTCTTAACATCGTGTAAATGTGTCGGGTTTATATCTGTAATCAGTGATATCATACTGTATTGTATGTCTAAACATCGTGAAAATGTGTCGGGTTTTTATCTGTAATTAGGGTTATCATACTGTATTGTATGTCTAAACATCTTGTAAATGTGTCGGGTTTGTATCTGTAATCAGGGATATCACACTGTATTGTATGTCTAAACATCGTGTAAATGTGTCGGGTTTGTATCTGTAATCAGTGATATCATACTGTATTGTATGTCTAAACATCGTGTAAATGTGGCGGGTTTGTATCTGTAATCAGGGATATCATACTGTATTGTATGTCTAAACATCGTGTAAATGTGTCGGGTTTGTATCTGTAATCAGGGATATCACACTGTATTGTATGTCTAAACATCGTGTAAATGTGGCGGGTTTGTATCTGTAATCAGGGATATCACACTGTATTGTATGTCTAAACATGGTGTAAATGTGTCGGGTTTGTAGTTAATGATGGCTCTGTTTGGCATATTTCCATTGTGCTGACCGTTAATTTCTTCCTCCCTTATTATTAAAAGCACGGATGAGCACTTCCGAAAAGGCTCGTAAACTGGTTATAAAAACGCGTCCATCAGGTCTGCCTGCCTGAGTAGTCAGTAAAATCCGGAGTGATGTTGGCAATGACACGTGCCTTGTTTATCTTCATCTTTATCCAGATCGATGTCACTTATAATCAAAATATTCTTCCCGAACACCAAAGACGTCACTGCAATGCGTTGAAGACAATGGATATCATGGAATATGCTATGCCCGAGATACGACGCATCCTACGGCAAGATGCAGCAAATCTCGAACGCAAACTCAAAGAAGATTTCGGAAATCTCGAACGCACCCTCAAAGAAGATTTTGGAAATCTCGAACGCACCCTCAAAGAAGATTTCGGAAATCTTGAACGCACACTGAAGGAAGATTTTGGAAATCTCCGAGATCAATATGAACAAAGATCGTTTCCGCTAAAAGGTACCACTTTATTTTCGTCCATGCGTTTACCGATGAAATTTCCCCTAGGTAAAACTTCTAGGTGCCAGTATGAAACAGTCATGCTATATTAAAAAAATATAGTGCAATCACATTTTATCTTATTTGAATTGTCCGTATGATAGAAACTGCAATTTGATGATCTATGATTTCAGTTTGGTTATCTATAAACTGCAACACACCAGGAATTCTATAGTTTTTTCTCTGTGACATTTTCAATTTCTGATAGCAGATGATTGATTGTTGATGTGACCTTCACTTCTCCGCTGTAATCCCTGATAGATATGAGTTACGTCCCCTGATCGATTCTCGATCCAAATTCATTGTACACGCCATCAAATGTGTGATACAATATAAAGTTAATTGTCATTATATATTTGATTTTAATTGTTACATACGGAAAGCTCGCTACGAAATATGTATAACTCTACTATATTGTTGTAGGTAGTATTGTACTGACCTGTCCTAAAGGTTAGGTGTACTATAACTATACCTGTTTGTTGTAGGTAGTATTGTACTGACCTGTCCTAAAGGTTAGGTGTACTATACCTGTCTGTTGTAGGTGGTTTGTACTGACTTGTCCTAAAGGTTAGGTGTACTATAACTATACCTGTTTGTTGTAGGTGGTATTGTACTGACCTGTCCTAAAGGTTAGGTGTACTATAACTATACCTGTTTGTTGTAGGTGGTTTGCGCTGACCTGTCCTAAAGGTTAGGTGTATTATAACTATACCTGTTTTTGTAGGTGGTATTGTACTGACCTGTCCTAAAGGTTAGGTGTACTATAACTATACCTGTTTGTTGTAGGTGGTATTGTACTGACCTGTCCTAAAGGTTAGGTGTACTATAACTATACCTGTTTGTTGTAGGTGGTATTGTACTGACCTGTCCTAAAGGTTAGGTGTACTATAACTATACCTGTTTGATGTAGGTGGTTTGCGCTGACCTGTCCTAAAGGTTAGGTGTATTATAACTATACCTGTTTGTTGTAGGTATTTTGTACTGACCTGTCCTAAAGGTTAGGTGTACTATAACTATACCTGTTTGTTGTAGGTGGTTTGTACTGACCTGTCATAAAGGTTAGGTGTGCTATAACTATACTTGTTGTAGGTAGTATTGTACTGACCTGTCCTAAAGGTTAGGTGTACTCTAACTATACCTGTTTGTTGTAGGTGGTTTGTACTGACCTGTCCTAAAGGTTAGGTGTACTATAACTATACCTGTTTGTTGTAGGTGGTTCGCACTGACCTGTACTAAAGATTAGGTGTACTCTAACTATACCTGTTTGTTGTAGGAGGTATTGTACTGACCTGTCCTAAAGGTTAGGTGTACTCTAACTATACCTGTTTGTTGTAGGTGGTATTGTACTGACCTGTCCTAAAGATTAGATGTACTATAACTATACCTGTCTGTTGTAGGTGGTATTGTACTGACCTGTCCTAAAGGTTAGGTGTACTATAACTATACCTGTCTGTTGTAGGTGGTATTGTACTGACCTGTCCTAAAGGTTAGGTGTACTATAACTATACCTGTCTGTTGTAGGTGGTATTGTACTGACCTGTCCTAAAGGTTAGGTGTATTATAACTATACCTGTTTTTGTAGGTGGTATTGTACTGACCTGTCCTAAAGGTTAGGTGTACTATAACTATACCTGTCTGTTGTAGGTGGTATTGTACTGACCTGTCCTAAAGGTTAGGGGTATTATAACTATACCTGTTTTTGTAGGTGGTATTGTACTGACCTGTCCTAAAGGTTAGGTGTACTATACCTGTCTGTTGTAGGTGGTTTGTACTGACTTGTCCTAAAGGTTAGGTGTACTATAACTATACCTGTTTGTTGTAGGTGTATTGTACCTGTCCTAAAGGTTAGGTGTACTATAACTATACCTGTTTGTTGTAGGTGGTTTGCGCTGACCTGTCCTAAAGGTTAGGTGTACTCTAACTATACCTGTTTGTTGTAGGTGGTTTGTACTGACCTGTCACAAAGTTAGGTGTACTATAACTATACCTGTTTGTTGTAGGTGGTATTGTACTGACCTGTCCTAAAGGTTAGGTGTACTATACCTGTCTGTTGTAGGTGGTTTGTACTGACTTGTCCTAAAGGTTAGGTGTACTATACCTGTCTGTTGTAGGTGGTTTGTACTGACTTGTCCTAAAGGTTAGGTGTACTATAACTATACCTGTTGTAGGTAGTATTGTACTGACCTGTCCTAAAGGTTAGGTGTACTCTAACTATACCTGTTTGTTGTAGGTGGTTTGTACTGACCTGTCCTAAAGGTTAGGTGTACTATAACTATACCTGTTTGTTGTAGGTGGTTTGTACTGACCTGTCCTAAAGGTTAGGTGTACTATAACTATACCTGTTTGTTGTAGTTGGTATTGTACTGACATGTCCTAAAGGTTTGGTGTACTATACCTGTTTGTTGTAGGTGGTTTGTACTGACCTGTCCTAAAGGTTAGGTGTACTATAACTATACCTGTTGTAGGTAGTATTGTACTGACCTGTCCTAAAGGTTAGGTGTACTATAACTATACCTATTTGTTGTAGGTAGTTTTGTACTGACCTGTCCTGCAGGCTGGGTGTACTATAACTATAGCTGTTACCTGTTTTCCAGCACTCGTACCACATGGCGGGATGGAAGGGTAATGTGTGAACAACAGGGGGCTGTACCAACTTAGAAAGATATAATTTCAAATCAAAATTTGTTTTGTAATATCAGTCAAATATAATGCTATTAAAATTCTATTCAATTAAAAAGACAACATCTTTTACATATAACATCAATCGATATTAACAATGTCATAATTAATCCACATACATTGTAATTAAAAGATTTTTTGTGGAAATCTGTTTGTTTTATCTGGGTATTATATATTCTATGCTCACTGCGTCTGATACTGGGTAGGTTTGAAAACATGTATATTAATCTGAATAAGTTAAACATATTCCTTTATCATCCGAAACAAAGTAATGTCAATAATGCAAATCATAACTTTGTTGTCTCATGATGTGTATGCTATTTTCAACATTTCAAAAAACTTCTGTTTTATAAGGCAACGTTTTTATAGATGATAACAAAAGAAGGCTTAAACCCTGTTCGCTGTCATTTTAATAAAACAAAATATCAAATACAAACACATAGATCGCTTTCAATTATCTGTCCGATCACGTTTGTATACCTGAAAAGTTTCTACATTAGGAAAAATAGACCCAGGTCCATATATCCCGAACTGTGTATTGGGGTATACCAATACATATTACTGAAGTCATCTGATTAATACGGACGTAAAACTGATATTGATTGGCAATATTAACTTTAAATAATTAAATCTGATTGACTTCCAATTTAAAACAAGGGGGACTGCCAATCTAAGGAGGCGTATCTAGCGGAGATCTTGAGCGAAGAGGAAAATAACTTCGTCCAATCAGAATTGCGGAGAATCAGTAAGAAAGGTTTATGTGCTAATATTGGTGTCGTTTTTAATTAACATCGTAATGATCATATTTCACCAAAAACCCTGTACCATTATTGATCAGCTGTTACACTTGTAATATATGCAATAATAGTAAAATCAAAAGTGAAAATAGAAATAGTTCTACCATGGTGTCCTCAAAATTCAAACTTCAGTTCATTGTTTTTGTTACATTCATGGTAAATTAAACTTTCTGACATTAGGAGTAATACATACTTTTCCCTTATATATAACCGTTTCCGTGCGCTCTCTTATCACTTTTTCAGTTGTTTGTTGAAGGCATGTATTGATCATATTTACTATTTAAAAATCTGGTAATTTGTAGAAGAACCGGAGCCCCGGATCTACTCCCTTGGAGGCACGGATATACACAGTGAGGGTGTCTGGCTCTGGGTAAGCACAGGAGAAAGGATTGGATTTACAGACTGGGGACCAAAGGAACCGAATAATCAGAAAGGGAAAGAACACTGTCTGACAATAAATGGATTCTTGGACTATAGGTGGAATGATGATAATTGTGCTAATGAATTCAACTGGATATGTGAAAGAAGGTAAATAATTTCTAAAAAGTATTGTAAGATATTAATTCTCTACAATTATACATTTACTGCTAGCAACTCTCATTTACTCTACAAACGCGTGACATTACTTGCTTACAAAGCTTTGATTGGAATTTTTTTTTAATTATTTTTAAAGCAGATTTGACGTTATATTGCTATTTTTATTTCTTTTATCGAACAAGCCAACCTTCCAAATGTTAACAAATCACGACGTTCGTCCTTTAGTGACAAGTGTTAGGCTTAGCTACAGGTCTTTATCGGAAATACTTATGTGTTCATCATTATTTTTGTTTCCAGTGTCGTTGTACAACCATACCTGTGAAGAGAGAGAAAAAAGCTGGGAGAGGATACTTCCGCTTTGTTTTCGTATTCCAACACATTCACATACTCCTTCATCAACGTGTTGATATCAATTTAAGGCGTCGTTCAAATAGGAATGAATTAAACAAATATACAACAATGTCTTTGTAAATCTTAAACAAAAGGCTGTAACTCTTTACGATATTCTTTCAACTGCAAATTTCAACGTCAATCAAAGAAAATCGGGATTAAACTTAAAATCTAAAACAAACGAAGTGAAGTGTTGTTGCAATCATATTACAAACAGCCTCGACAGTGCTTCAATGATTCTATAAACAGCCTCCACTGTGTTACAATTCTAATATAAACAGCCTAGAAAGTGTTCTGATTCTAGTATACATAGCCTCGACAGTGTCCTGATTCTACTATAAATAGCCTCGATAGTGTTCTGATTCTACTATAAATAGCCACGACAGTGTTCTGATTCTACTATACATAGCCTCGATAGTGTTCTGATTGTACTATACATAGCCTCGACAGTGTTCTGATTCTACTATAAATAGCCCCGACAGTGTTCTGATTCTACTATAAATAGCCTCGATAGTGTCCTGATTCTACTATAAATAGCCCCGATAGTGTCCTGATTCTACTATACATAGCCTCGACAGTGTTCTGATTCTACTATAAATAGCCCTGACAGTGTTCTGATTCTACTATAAATAGCCTCGACAGTGTTCTGATTCTACTATAAATAGCCCCGACAGTGTTCTGATTCTACTATAAACAGCCCCGAGAGAGTTCTGATTCTACTATAAACAGCCCCGACAGTGTTCTGATTCTACTATACATAGCCTCGACAGATTTCTGATTCTACTATACATAGCCCCGACAGTGTTCTGATTCTACTATACATAGCCTCGACAGTGTTCTGATTCTACTATAAATAGCCACGACAGTGTTCTGATTCTACTATACATAGCCTCGACAGAGTTCTGATTCTACTATACATAGCCTCGACAGTGTTCTGATTCTACTATACATAGCCTCGACAGTGGTCTGATTCTACTATACATAGCCTCGACAGAGTTCTGATTCTACTATACATAGCCTCGACAGTGTTCTGATTCTACTATACATTGCCTCGACAGTGTTCTGATTCTACTATACATAGCCTCGACAGTGTTCTGATTCTACTATAAATAGCCCCGACAGTGTTCTGATTCTACTATAAATAGCCCCGACAGAGTTCTGATTCTACTATAAATAGCCCCGACAGTGGTCTGATTCTACTATACATAGCCTCGACAGAGTTCTGATTCTACTATAAATAGCCCCGACAGAGTTCTGATTCTACTATACATAGCCTCGACAGTGTTCTGATTCTACTATAAATAGCCACGATAGTGTTCTGATTCTACTATACATAGCCTCGAGTGTTCTGATTCTACTATAAATAGCCTCGACAGTGTTCTGATTCTACTATAAATAGCCTCGACAGTGTTCTGATTCTACTATAAATAGCCCCGACAGAGTTCTGATTCTACTATAAACAGCCCCGACAGAGTTCTGATTCTACTATAAACAGCCCCGAGAGAGTTCTGATTCTACTATAAACAGCCTCGACAGTGTTCTGATTCTACTATACATAGCCTCGACAGTGTTCTGATTCTACTATACATAGCCCCGACAGAGTTCTGATTCTACTATACATAGCCCCGACAGTGTTCTGATTCTACTATACATAGCCTCGACAGTGTTCTGATTCTACTATAAATAGCCACGACAGTGTTCTGATTCTACTATACATAGCCTCGACAGTGTTCTGATTCTACTATAAATAGCCCCGACAGTGTTCTGATTCTACTATAAATAGCCTCGACAGAGTTCTGATTCTACTATACATAGCCCGACAGTGTTCTGATTCTACTATACATAGCCCCGACAGTGTTCTGATTCTACTATAAACAGCCCCGACAGAGTTCTGATTCTACTATACATAGCCTCGACAGTGTTCTGATTCTACTATAAATAGCCTCGACAGTGTTCTGATTCTACTATACATAGCCTCGACAGTGTTCTGATTCTACTATACATAGCCACGACAGTGTTCTGATTCTACTATAAATAGCCACGACAGTGTTCTGATTCTACTATACATAGCCCTGACAGTGTTCTGATTCTACTATACATAGCCTCGACAGTGTTCTGATTCTACTATACATTGCCGCGACAGTGTTCCGATTCTACTATACAAATCACCGACAGTGTTCTGATTCTAATATACATTGCCTCGACAGTGTTCCGATTCTACTATACATAGCCCCGACAGAGTTCTGATTCTACTATACATAGCCTCGACAGTGTTCTGATTCTATTATAAATAGCCTCGACAGTGTTCTGATTCTACTATAAATAGCCTCGACAGTGTTCTGATTCTACTATACATTGCCGCGACAGTGTTCTGATTCTACTATAAATAGCCACGATAGTGTTCTGATTCTACTATACATAGCCTCGACAGTGTTCTGATTCTACTATACATAGCCTCGACAGTGTTCTGATTCTATTATAAATAGCCTCGACAGTGTTCTGATTCTACTATAAATAGCCTCGACAGTGTTCTGATTCTACTATACATAGCCTCGACAGTGTTCTGATTCTACTATACATAGCCTCGACAGTGTTCTGATTCTACTATACATAGCCTCGACAGTGTTCTGATTCTACTATACATAGCCTCGACAGTGTTCTGATTCTACTATACATAGCCTCGACAGTGTTCTGATTCTACTATACATAGCCTCGACAGTGTTCTGATTCTACTATACATAGCCTCGACAGTGTTCTGATTCTACTATACATAGCCTCGACAGTGTTCTGATTCTACTATACATAGCCCCGACAGTGTTCTGATTCTACTATACATAGCCTCGACAGTGTTCTGATTCTACATAGCCTCGACAGTGTTCTGATTCTACTATACATAGCCTCGACAGTGTTCTGATTCTTCGACAGTGTTCTGATTCTACTATACATAGCCCCGACAGTGTTCTGATTCTACTATACATAGCCTCGACAGTGTTCTGATTCTACTATAAATAGCCCCGACAGTGTTCTGATTCTACTATACATAGCCTCGACAGTGTTCTGATTCTACTATAAACAGCCTCGACAGAGTTCTGATTCTACTATAAATAGCCTCGACAGTGTTCTGATTCTACTATAAACAGCCTCGACAGTGTTCTGATTCTACTATACATAGCCTCGACAGTGTTCTGATTCTACTATACATAGCCCCGACAGAGTTCTGATTCTACTATACATAGCCCCGACAGTGTTCTGATTCTACTATCCATTGCCTCGATAGTGTTCTGATTCTACTATACACAGCCTCGACAGTGTTCTGATTCTACTATACATAGCCTCGACAGTGTTCTTATTCTACTATAAATAGCCTCGACAGTGTTCTGATTCTACTACTATACATAGCCTCGACAGTGTTCTGATTCTACTATACATAGCCTCGACAGTGTTCTGATTCTACTATAAATAGCCCCGACAGAGTTCTGATTCTACTATAAATAGCCCCGACAGTTTTCTGATTCTACTATAAACAGCCCCGAGAGAGTTCTGATTCTACTATAAACAGCCCAGACAGAGTTCTGTTTCTACTATAATCAGCCCAGACAGTTTTCTGATTCTACTATACATAGCCTCGACAGTGTTCTGATTCTACTATAAATAGCCCCGACAGTGTTCTGATTCTACTATACATTGCCTCGACAGTGTTCTGATTCTACTATACATAGTCCCGACAGTGTTCTGATTCTACTATACATAGCCCCGACAGTGTTCTGATTCTACTATACATAGCCTCGACAGAGTGTTCTGATTCTACTATACATAGCCTCGACAGAGTTCTGATTCTACTATACATAGCCTCGACAGTGTTCTGATTCTACTATACATAGCCTCGACAGTGTTCTGATTCTACTATACATAGCCTCGACAGTGTTCTGATTCTACTATAAATAGCCACGATAGTGTTCTGATTCTACTATACATAGCCTCGACAGTGTTCTGATTCTACTATACATAGCCCCGACAGAATTCTGATTCTACTATACATAGCCCCGACAGTGTTCTGATTCTACTATAAATAGCCTTGACAGTGTTCTGATTCTACTATAAATAGCGCCGACAGAGTTCTGATTCTACTATACATAACCTCGACAGTGTTCTGATTCTACTATACATAGCCACGACATTGTTCTGATTCTACTATACATAGGCTCGACAGTGTTCTGATTCTACTATACATTGCCACGACAGTGTTCTGATTCTACTATAAATAGCCACGACAGTGTTCTGATTCTGTTCTGATTCTACTATAAATAGCCCCGACAGAGTTCTGATTCTACTATAAATAGCCTCGACAGTGTTCTGATTCTACTATACACAGCCTCGACAGTGTTCTGATTCTACTATACATAGCCTCGACAGTGTTCTTATTCTACTATAAATAGCCTCGACAGTGTTCTGATTCTACTATAAATAGCCCCGACAGTGTTCTGATTCTACTATAAATAGCCTCGACAGTGTTCTGATTCTACTATACATAGCCTCGACAGTGTTCTGATTCTACTATACATAGCCCCGACAGTGTTCTGATTCTACTATACATAGCCCCGACAGTGTTCTGATTCTACTATACATAGCCTCGACAGATTTCTGATTCTACTATACATAGCCCCGACAGTGTTCTGATTCTACTATACATAGCCTCGATAGTGTTCTTATTCTACTATAAATAGCCTCGACAGTGTTCTGATTCTACTATACATAGCCTCGACAGTGTTCTGATTCTACTATACATAGCCCCGACAGAGTTCTGATTCTACTATACATAGCCCCGACAGTGTTCTGATTCTACTATACATAGCCTCGACAGTGTTCTGATTCTACTATACATAGCCTCGACAGTGTTCTGATTCTACTATACATAGCCTCGACAGTGTTCTGATTCTACTATACATAGCCTCGACAGTGTTCTGATTCTACTATACATAGCCTCGACAGTGTTCTGATTCTACTATACATTGCCTCGACAGTGTTCTGATTCTACTATACATAGCCCCGACAGAGTTCTGATTCTACTATACATAGCCTCGACAGTGTTCTGATTCTACTATACATAGCCTCGACAGTGTTCTGATTCTACTATACATAGCCTCGACAGTGTTCTGATTCTACTATACATAGCCCCGACAGAGTT